GATAGGCGTCACAAGGTTTTGGGTAGGCTGGTGGTACTACAGTGGAGGTTCAGGGTATAGGTAGGTGACTACTAGGAGTATGGTGCACGGGTCTCAAGAGATTTGGGCGTGGGAGGCAACAGGTTGCATAGGGGCACGAGGATAGGTGATAAGTAGTGCTGTGCATGACACTTACTAGCACCAACTCCCTGCTTTTTTTGTTTTTTCGTGTTTTGTTTCTTTTGTATTTTTTTTGTATTTTATTATTATTATTACTTAATATTAATGTATTTTAAAATTAAGAATACAATAAAAATAAAAATAAAAGACTAAACTTGGGCTTAAAAAAATGAAACTGGACCCTAGGCTCGATTGAACGAAAATTGGGCTTCGTCCTGAGAATTCGATAAATCAGATGAATTCTAAACTAAGACCTAATTAAAATCTTGGACAAATTTGGTTTCTAAGCCAGTTTGAGAAAATAAACTAATCAAATGGGTTTGAATTCAAGATGGATTTCATTACTTTTGCCAAGTTTGCATTGATATGCTTTGATGTTCTTGCATGGTAATTTTTTTTCCTTTTATTGACGTACAGGAAGGTTGGTGAAGGAGTGAAAATTGTCTGCATTTTTTTTTTTTTTTTGCATTTTATTGCTCTCGGGAAGTTGATATTTAGCTAGATCTCTTCTATTTTCTTTCCTAAGTGTTTTTTTTTTTGTTGAATAGTTTTCATTTATGTGATGAGATCATGGTTTTCTTTCTCATTTTCGTCCATTGTTTGCAGGCCTGTCTTTGCTTTGTATATATAAAAACTGTCCCCATTTCATTTTATATATCCATCTCAGTAATGTCTTAAAAAGAAATTGGAGCTTAAATTTGGGTGTAACTTCATAGCTGTTGTTGTCTCCTGTCTACAGCTATTTGTTTTAAGGGTTTGAAAACTCTCAGATTCAATTTTTTCTCTTTTCCTGTCTTTCTTTCTTTGGTGGCACCTCTTTCCATTCTTCATCCTCTTCCTTCCTCTGTTAGAGGTGTTATGATTACCTCTTCCACTGTCATGGCTACCGTTTGCCAATGTGACTCTTCTTCATTAATCTTTGCTAAAAAAACTTCAAAAATAACCTTGGGATTGATTGTTTCTGTTAAAAGGCTTCAAATATGCCAAAAGGGAGAAGCAGATTGAGAGAAGGAGCCGAGGAATCCAAGGTAAGATCGAAAACCGTTTGGTTTATTAAATAAAATGTAATTTAAGAAAACTGTTTGGTTTACATTTTTTGGGTTTATTAAATGTGAATTATTAAAAAAATTTATTGGTTTTTTAGTTTAATTTTATAGCGGTTTTCTTTTCTTTTTTCGAGAAAATTGAGGGAGAAAACGTAGAAAGATGAAGAATTGGGTTACATGCAGATGAGACCATGAGAGTCCAGATCGGTCAAAACTTGTGGTTTGATATTTTAGGACCAGGGCTTTAAGTCACACGGTACAAGAGTTGCTTGAGCCAGAGATGCTAACCTGCCTGGTTTAGAACATTGAGATGGCATGCATTGGATGGACAAAATTTTTCTATGTGAAGCACTAAAATAGTATCTTCTATGCTTCATAACAAAAACATGACCAAAATTGAAGGTTAAGTAAGTTACTTCCCTTCGATTGTGTTGTTTTCTTGATGTCTTCACTTATTTTCTCAATTGTAAAACAGGTGAGGTTGAACTAACAAACATGCAACTGAAGCCAGATGCATTTAATGCATTAAAATTGCCTGTAAAGGTCAAGGCATGATTTCTTGGATCAATTAAACTCGAGGTTTGTTGTGTAAAATATTGTAGTCAGAGACTTTTGTTGACTTTTGGGGCCATTCTCTATGTTCTAAATTTCTAGGATTTGCTTGCGGGTGTTTGATAAAATATAGAATGTAGACGAACACATTATAATCCTAATTTCATAAGTGTGACGTTTATGAGGTTTGGAAACTAATAGAATCATGAAGTTTGTGTTGAAAATGGCTGTGTATCGCTTCCATCATTGGCAACAAAGTAATTGATTTTGCATTTTTTATTTGAAATTTATTTTGTGATTTTGAGATCTTTTTAATAAACTTGCTATACTTGTTTTTGATTGAGAAAGTCGAGAATGTTAAGAAAGAGATAACAAGGGACAAATCTTCCTTTGTTCTTGAATTGGTTGTTTGCTGGTTGCTTGCGAAGAACGTTAGTGCTCAGAAGCTCTTCATTAAGATGGACTGATTTAAGTGAAATTTAGTTTTGACATATTTATAATTGGATTAAGCAAAGCAAAATTCATATTTACATTTGAAATATTTGTTAAAATAATCTAGTTTTGTTCATGGAATTTCCTTTGTTTTTAGTTGATTTGCCTTTGTTTTCTGTTTCCGGATCTAAGATCAAATTTTAAATGTTTTCTGTTAAGCCATAGCTTCGGTGGCTTATTTTCTTCTTCATTTCTTCTTGGTTAGATCACTTAAATGGTATTATTTTAATATGATACCTGCAAAATAATTGTGATTAACTGTCCTTTGCCACATGTTCCTTAAATCTTTTCTGGTCATTCTAATTGTTGCTGATTTGGCCACATACCTTATTATATATTTAAAATAATTAATAAATTTAAATAAAAAATGAATAAATCAATATGATAAATAAAATAACATCTAATAATATTTTTATCCTGTTTGTAAAATTTAAAGACTTCATGAATAATGTTTAAAATAATACCCTTTTAATTCCATTGTTTGAGTTTTTCTTCAAATGCCTTATTATATTCTTCAATAGCTTTTGTTGGTGGTCTTATTTTTTTATCATTATTATTTTTAATCCACGAAGTCTAACTTTATTTAGATACTTAAATTCTAATGAATCCATGCTATATTTTAGCAAAACATGATTAAAATTCCCAAGATGCAATTATTTTCTTTCCATCACAAAATATTCAAATTTGAACCCACCAAAACCTCTTGAATCCATATAATCTGGTAGCGCAACTGCATTAGTCTAGCTGGTGAGCCAGAGCATATTTGGCCAACATGACAAATATGATCCATTTATAACAAATTGAGTGGTTTTACATCTTTTTTTTTTTTTGACAAAATGAGGGAGATGATTCAAAGGCAAACAACTTGGAGGAGAGTTGTGGGATTGGCTATCTCTGCTGTCCGATGTTTTTACTTTTGTGTCTTTTTATAGCTGGATCCTAAAACATACACCTTCAATAGAGAAAAAGCATACATCTTCAATAGAGTAAAAGCTTCCATGTCTGATGTCTTTTTACTTTTGTGTCTTTCTATAGCTGGATCCTACTTGGTTGTGCTTTTGTCATCCTTGCCTCGCCATAAGGTTCATCATTATCAATCCTCTTATTGTTTCTGAAAGCAGAGCAACCGATGACATAAAAGATGACTAGGAGGATAAGCAAAACTATGTTGATCACTGAGACCTTCCTCCAGCTCTTCTTGAGGCTGCCAAGCACACCAGCTTGCATGAATCACATTGATAGCACAGCTGCTCTTGGTCATTGCTTCATTTAGAGCAGTCGAGGTCAGTTTTTAACAGGGAAATTCACGTAGGTTTAAAACCCAAACTTTATGGTATCATTTCTTGAACTTATAACTTTTTTAGAGGTCTTGGAATGCACTGCATGCCCTGCCTGTCAAATATGAAGTTCAATATGGCATTAACTTTACTAATTGTGAGCCTTGTGGGAATTGCCATTTAGGGTTGCCATGGCAAGGTTGTGCAGTTTATTTTCGGGGATTCCTTATCTGATGTTGGTAATAACAGGTACCTTTCTAGGAGCCTGGCACAGGCCACCTTGCCTTATTATGGTATTGATTTTGGCAATGGTCTGTCTAATGGAAGGTTCACCAATGGCTGAACTGTTGCTGATATAATAGGTAATTCATTAACCTGTAGCAGTTAAATTTAAAAGTTTAAGCTCATAAATGGTAGTACTGATTTGTCTTTGAGAATTCTGACCACTTTCATGTTACTTCTGTTCTTCATCTACATCAGGCGACAACACTGGTCTCCCAAGGCCACTAGCTTTCTTGGATCCATCTTTGACTGAGGATGTGATATTGGAAAATGGGGTAAATTATGCCTCTTGAGGTGGTAGAAATTTGAATGAAACAGAAGGTTACTTTGTAAGTTGCATCATCTCAAGTTTCTTGCATTTTGTTCCTAGAAAAAATTATTGGATGTCTCACCAGCTCAGAGGCTGCCCTTTTGGAAGAAAATTGAGCTGTTTTGCTAACAGGGGGCAAGCATCTCGGCAAGAAGGGATACTACATTGAGCCTACCATATTTACTGATTGAGACCCAAATGTTACGCAAACTTCAGTGCTTTTGTTGCTGAATTTGTTCGAAATGTGTTTTGAAATATTTATGCAAACTCTAATATAAGAACATTTGAGTGGTTGTAATCATAATACTTTTACAAAATAGATTGTATAATTTATGAAATTTATACTTCTAATTTATATTTTACATTGTATGAGCTATTTTTAAATTTCCTTTTTTTCATTTTTGTTTGTGTGAATTTTTTTTACTTTTTTGTGTTTTTCCTTTTGTTTATGCTATTTTATTATTTTTTATTAATTAATAAAAATATAATATTTTTAAGTTATTTGTAAAATAAAAATTCATAACTCTAGACGAAATGCGGAATGTCAAACTAGTTATGTTAATATTCAATTTAAAATTAATTAATAATAGTTGCATGTATTTAATTTGAATAAAAAATTTAAAAGTTAAAAAATGTGAATAATATTACTTTAATATATTTTATTCTCCCATGCATGGAGATCACCAATTGAACAAGGGTGGACGACTTAGAGAACACGTGAATATCATAAAAAGACCAGTTGCACCGTTATTTCCATCGCCTACCCAAAGAAGAAAAAGGGTCAATTTGGCAGATTAGCACCCATTTTCGACTTCCTTTCTCCCCTATATAAACCTGTTCCCCTATCTTGCCAATGCCAAAAACATAGCATTGATCTACGTACGTCTCTTGTTTTTGAGTAATTAGTCTTGAAATTTGGCTGTGAACATGGGTTTCACATATGGACATGGACTAGTCCTAGTTATGGCAGCAGCTGCTTCCATGTTGGAAGTAAGCATAGCCAATAAGGACTGGGGCTTTAAGTCGAACAACACTGGCTGGGTCTGGAGCTCCAATAACCGTCCCCTGCATGAAACAGAAGGAACCAACAAGATCATTGTTGGTGGATCAGAAAATTGGCAGTTCGGCTTCAACTACTCCGAATGGGCATTCCAAAATGCACCCTTTTACTTTAACGATGCTCTAGGTGAGTTAACAATATCATTCTTATCCATTTTCTTCACCCAAAATGAAAAAAGAAAGAGGAAAGCTTACTATATTTTTGTTCAAATTAACTAATGGATGGTTAAATATTGGTTTGCAGTGTTCAAGTATGACCCACCAAGCAACACCACATTTCCTCACAGCGTTTACTTGTTCCCTGACCTATGGAGCTACTGGAATTGTGACTTGAAGAGAGCAAAGATGATTGCAAATGCAACCCAAGGAGGAGGGGATGGGTTCGAGCTTGTGCTTAACAGGTGGAGAACCTATTACTTTGCTTGTGGTGAACGTAATGGCTTCCATTGTAAGGTGGGCGGCATGAGGTTCATGGTGATGCCACTATTTCGTTGGCACTACTAAAATCCATGCATGGAGCTGATCGTAAAGAATATCGATATCCAATATTAAGTGTGTTGTTTTACCTTTTTTTACAAAATTAATGTAATAACGAATAATTGTAATTGTTGTGTTTAATCTGTTTGAATTACTAGTTTTTTTTTTTAATGATTACAAAAATGAGATAAAGATGTACGTAGTGCATGTCTTCGTACGACAATATGATGAATAAAATTCTGGGTTTGGTTCTACTTATTTGGTCATTTTGACTTTTCTTTTGTTTCTTGCAAATTGGTTTTAATAAAATACATTTTACAAAATATTGATATTTTTTGAAATATAAAATATTTGATATTTTTTCAGAAAAGCAGATTCTTTTTCAGCTAAATTTTGGAAAAATAAAGATTTTTTTGTTGTTATGTAGTTTTTTGAAAATTTTGTCAACATCATTTTTGTTGACATTTTAAAAAATAATAAATAAAGATGAAAATAAATAAAATTGATTCCAGGATTATCCCAAAATTTTGGAGAAATTAAAAAAAAATTCTTTAGAATAATTAAGGAAAATAAAACTTTTTCAATTTTCTTTAAAATTTTCATTCAAAATATTTATTCAAATAAACTTTATTATTTATTTATTTATTTTGGTTATTTAAATAAATCTTTATTTTAATAAAAACAATTTTTAGATTATCTCAATTCTTTGGTAAAATCTAAAAATATTCTTACTTGTAATAATTAAAGAAAATTGAACTTTTTCAATTTCTTTTAAAAATTGCATTTCAAAAGATTTATCCAAATAATTCATTATTTTTATTTTTTTTTCTAAAAAATTTTATTCCTAGAAAAAATAATTTCTTAAATTATTAATACTTAGGTGAAGTTTAAGAAATATTTTTCATCTGCAAAAATTAAAAAAAAAAAGAACTTTTTCATTTTTTCTTAATAATTATATTTTAGGATATCATCATCTTTTTCATTTTTTAAAATTTTAATAAAACTTAATTTTTATTTTTATTTTTTTATTAAAATTATTACTCATTTCTTTTAGACAAGCAATAATTATTTATTTTTGTTTAATTTTTTAAATAATTACAAAAATAAACTAAAATAAAATTAAAAAATCAACAAAAAAATAAAAAAAGAAAAGAAAAAAACTTATAAATGGGTTAGGCCAGAGCACTGGTCAGCTCGTGAGTGACGGGTGGGTTTACGAGTCAAAAACACCTAAAACGATGTCATTTTGGCGACCTATTTAAAGTCCTAATAATTTTTTTTTTGTTTTTTTTACTCTTTACTTCGTCTCTCTCTTCCCTCAAGACTTCTTTCTCTAAAATATCTCCTCCCTTCATCGCCTGTCGTAAAAACCCGATTTTTAATCGGTTACAGTCATGATGTCATTGGAAACTTTCACCGACGTTGAAAAAATAAAAATTTTTATATTGCAGTGGTCGAAAAATTCAAATGTCTCACTTTTTCAAAATTTGGGAGCTGAATTTATAAGATTGAATGGGAAACCAAGTCTTACAAAATTTGGGATTGAGAGAAATTTTTTTTAAAGCCATCATAAGTTTTTTTACAAATTTTGACAAAATTTGGTATTCGCATGTGATTGGAAATGTAAAATGGGGTGGCAAATGGATGGAACTTGAGCTTTAGTTTCTTATTGATTTTGTTATTTCCATAGCACCTCTTTTTTTGACCTTTTTTTATGATTAATTAATAAAATAATATGTGTAATTGACAATATGCAATAAATATTATCAAAATACTTGAATGAATTTAAATTAAACACATCAAAATCACAAAGACAATTTGAGATTCAATTCAATCAATTTAGATAAAATTAAGTGTGGACAAAAGTGTCCATGCATGGGTTAAATTAGGTTAGGTTTAGTTGATATTTTCAAAATCTTGCACAAAATTTGATTCATTCATTTGGGTCCGTTATGTATATTGACTAGTTAAATAATATTAAATTATTAAAAATCAATTTAATGTTAATTTTAAAGTATATTAAATACATTTTAAAATTAAATTTAAAAATAAAATTTTATTTATAAAATAATAATTCAAGACATACTCGAATTAATCAAATTTTTATTCAAGACCCAACTCTATTGAATTTGGACAAACAATCCGATTAGTAGATAGATCTAGCTTGTTGTCAGTCACTCCCATTATTTTTTCTTTTTATGGTGGATTTGGTTTTCATCACATTGATTACTTGAGTGAAATTTAATCCAAAGGAAAATTTCAATAAATATGAAAATAAACAAGGATAAGCTAATTGAATTTAGTTTGAATGGTTTAATTAAGAGGGAACTTAAATATAGAAATTTTAAGTTTGAGAATTTTTTAGCAATTCACTTCCCTTTAATATATTTTTTTTATTTCATGAAAACAAAAGGAAATTATATTCTTTTTCCCAAAATTTGTTAGACGAAATTGGATAAAATGTTTTTCCATTCCTCCTTTGAGAATTTCAGTAATGAATTATTAAGTATAAAAAAAATGGTAGAATTATTTTTCTTTATATTATTTAATTTATGAAATAGTTTCCCTAAACGATTAAGCATTTTGCTATTAAACGGTCATTGTTACATCATATAACGTAATCTTGTAAGTGGAATAGTAAACCTTGACTTTCTTACGCTTAAAGCTTATCGTATGTACCTTTGACCTCATCACTTGTCACAAATCACACTTTCTGGCAACAAAAAATGGAATTACAAAGAATCAACATTCATCAAGTAATGATTACGCTATCTTTTGACTAGTTTCCTTTAAAGTTTGCGTGAATATTAAGAGTTATTTAGTTATTCTAATTTTATATACTATTCTATCTCATTTTTCTAACTTTAATTGTGTTAAAAGATCCAATGTGTAAACGACAATAATTAAATATTCAATCAAAAATCAATTAATTATAAATGAAAAAGTCAATTTTTAATTAAAAAATTTAAAATTTAACAAACGAAAAAAAATTGTCATTTTAATAGACCTTCATTATTTATAAATAAGACTATTACATGACTAATTCAATAAAAATATAAAATAAAAAGAATACAAAATAAAAAACGTTAATATCATGTTAATATTCAATTTAAAATTAATTAATAATAGTTAAAAATGTCTAATTGGAATAAAAAATTTAAAAATTAAAAAAGATGAATAATATCACTTTTAATATATTTTATTCTGCCATATATGGAGAATCACCAATTGAACGACTTTGCATCATTATTTCCAATTCCACGCTCGCCTACCCAAAGAAGAAAAAGGGTCAATTTGGCAGATTAGCACCATTTTCTACTTCCTTTCTTCCCTATATAAACCTGTTCCCCTAACTTGCCAATGCCAAAAACATTGCATTGATCTACACTCTCTTTTATTCGAGTAATTAGTCTTGAAATTTCCCTTTGAACATGGGTTTCACATATGCACATGGACTGGTCCTAGTTATGGCAGCAGCTGCTTCCATGTTGGAAGTGAGCGTGGCCAATAAGGACTGGGTCTCTAAGTCTAACTACACTGGCTGGGGTTGGGGTTGGGGCTGGAGCTCCAATAACAATCCCCTGAATGAAACCGAAGGACCCAACAAGATCATTGTTGGTGGATCAGAAAATTGGCGCTTTGGCTTCAACTACTCCGAATGGGCATTCCAAAATGCACCCTTTTACTTTAACGATACTCTAGGTGAGTTAACAATATCATTCTTATCCATTTTCTTCACCCAAAATGAAAAAAGAAAGAAGAAAGCTTATTATATTTTTGTTCAAATTAACTAAAGGATGGTTAAATATTGGTTTCAGTGTTCAAGTATGATCCACCAAGCAACAACACATTTCCTCACAGCGTTTACTTATTCCCTGACCTATGGAGCTACTGGAATTGTGACTTGAAGAGAGCAAAGATGATTGCAAATGCAACCCAAGGAGGAGGGGATGGGTTCGAGCTTGCGCTTAATAGGTGGAGAACCTATTACTTTGCTTGTGGTGAACGTAATGGCTTCCATTGTAAGGTGGGCGGCATGAGGTTCATGGTGATGCCACTATTTCGTTGGCACTACTAAAATCCATGCATGGAGCTGATCGTAAAGAATATCGATATCCAATATTAAGTGTGTTGTTTTACCTTTTTTACAAAATTAATGTAATAACGAATAATTGTAATTGTGGTGTTTAATCTGTTTGAATAGCTAGTTTTTTTTTTTTTTTAATGATTACAAAATTGAGATAAATAAAGATGAACGTAGTGCATGTCTTCGTAAGACAATATGATCAATAAAATTTTGGGTTTGGTTCTATTTATTTGGCCATTTTGACCTTTTTTTTGTTTCTTGAAAATTGGTTTTAATAAAATACTTTTTAGAAAATACTGATATTTTATGAAAAATAAAATATTTGATAATTTTTTCAGTTCAGCAAAATTTTTGAAAAATAAAGATTTTTTTGTTATGTAGTTTTTTGAAAATTTTGTCAATATCATTTTCGTTGACATTTTTTGAAAAAATAAATAAAGATGAAACTTCTTGTTAACATTTTCGAAAAATAGTTTTTGAAAAAGGATAGATTACATATGAACACTACCAAACACTTAATTTTGAGCCTAATTATGCCTAAAGTTTGACTTAAGTTGAACTAAACTAGGGAGTTTGTCAAGTTTTCTTTTAAAAATTATCTTCTTTTTTACAAATCGATTTAAAAAAAAGGCCTTATGTTTTATAAACAAATAAGTTATTTTTTGTTGATTGAATAATTTTTTATCTAACAAATATAAAAAAAATAAAAAAAATTTTTTAAATCAATTTATGCTAAAGAAACAAAACTTAGTTTTTAAACAGAATTGATGATTAATGAAAATTTTGGACATAATCAAGGGGAACATGCATGTTTGCTCCTGTAAATGCCTTGTCAGTGCCCAGTAGCTTGGACTTGGTCAACATATGTCGGCACTGATAATTAATGAAGCTCTATTTGGTAAATTAAAAATAAATTTTAAATATGATTTTATAAAGAATTAACATATAGTAGGTTGAAAAAAAGTAAAAAAAATCTTCTCAAAAATAATAAAAAATAAAGTTTCGATTAAAATGGTTTTTCTCTCTCTTTGTTTTCATTTGCTTGATAAAAAGAAAAATAAATAAATTTACACATTTTTATGTCAAAATCCAATTCTACCAAAAATAAAAAGATAACTCATTACATCATTTTATAATGATTTTGACCTCAAATCTTTTCTTTCCTTCCATTTTCAATAAAATTCTTTCCACTCCTTTCATATTTTTACTTTTTTTTTTTTTTCTATTTTGATTTCAAGCCCGTGTAAAGGAGGTGGAAATGGGTTTGAGTTTGTGTTGAAGAGAAAGAAGCCCTGCCACTTTGCTTGTGGTGAACGTAATGGCTTTCATTGCAAGGCTGGCCTGATGAAATTCGTCGTGGTACCGCTGCTCCGTTGGCGCTATTGATGGAACACCAGGCCTAGAAATCCAAGGAAGATGCAATGTATTATGAGCCAACCTTGTATAAGATCATGATCAGGTTTAGATTGTCATGAGCCATCTATGAATAGGATCATGACCAAGTAGAAGTGTCAAAGAAGAGGATAGATCTTTTGTGTTAGGAAAAATGTTTTCATTTTAAACATTGTAACGGTTAGTGGTAGTATAGTTCTAAAATCTTATTTGCTTTTCAGAGGAGGTGAGCAATCGACGTATTGTTGAGCTGTCTCACTGATTAATATATGTGCTAGGTCACCCGTCAATGGCTGTCTCTCTGACCCCGATGATGGTGAGAAATTTTGATGTACTATTTTCAATATTAATAAAATATTTTTTTATTTAGAAGTCTCGAATGTTGTCTCGATGTGCTTTTCTTTCTTCTGATATGAACGTGTCTACTTGTGTATACTTGAGATTAACTCGTGGTTTGTTGTTGCTTATTCAGATATCGAGTTGTCCTTGACTGACTTTGGTGGAAACGTCCATTCAAGTTTCACACGGTCTATCACTTCATTGAGAGAAAGCTTAGCCCGTGACAGAATGCCTATGCTCCATACCATTTTTGTTAACAAGAATGTATCTACACTGTTTTCTTTTTCCTGCTTTAGTATGATTAAAGAACGAGCTGAGATGTATTGGAAGTTTAGGGTTGAATCCCTTTCAGTCGTCTCTGGCCATGCATGTTCTTCTATCTAATATGTTGTAATTTCTTTTATCAATAGCTTTTGTCCAAAGAAAAATGTTTTGCATTTGCTACATTGGTTTCTGTTTTGTACTTGTTTTCCTTTCAATTTGTCTCGTTTGGGAAGTTTAACCTGTGAGTCTTGCAACATTCTTTATCAAAAATAAAAATTAATTTACAACGTAAAAGTCAGTGATTTTCGTGAAAAACCAATGAGAGTCAAAATTAAGATCTTTCAGCATAAAATACAAAAAAAAAAAAAAAATAGTCATGGAACTCAGATATCAATTTTCTCCCCCAAATTCCTCTCATTATGTTGGAGCTTAGGTTTACTAGGCAGTAAAGATAAAAATAGCTAGGAAAAAATGAAAATTTTATTAATTTAATAGTTATAATTCATAATATATATTTTTATTTTGTAACTTTATCATTAGATTTATAAATTTTTTTATCCCCAATCGTTTTCGTCGTCTCTCTTGAGTAAATCCTAAAAACTGAGTTAACCATGATTATTGGTATTAGATAGTAAGCAAAAACAAACATTAACAAACACCAATATCATAGCTAGTTGTAAAGGTCGTCGTAATGATTTTTCATCTAAGAATTTAATCATTAAATTAGAAAAAAATTACAGAGTTGTTATTAATTTTTTTTATAATTAATTGTAATTGATCATCTAAAATCATTTAATAAAAAACCTTAAAATTAATTAAAATTTACTAAAAATTGCTTTGATCTTTGAAATCAAATTTGGATCCGAGAGTAGAGTTACAAATGAAAAAATATTAACAACTCATATTATCCATTCAAATAACGGTATCAATTAAACATTTGTTATCATTTTATCTTGATAATATGTTTTTTTATATATATTTATATTTAATTCTCTAAAATTTTATTTATATAAATTTTTTTTTTTTCATTTTATAAAATTTAATTATTTACACATTCTATAATTTCTTCAATACTTTAGTGAAATTTATAGTAAATATCTTTATTTAAGAAATAATAAAGAATAACAAACAAAAATAAAATTAAAAAAAAACTTACAAATATGTTAGATCAAAACACAGTTCAACTCACGAGCAATAAATTGGTCCGCGAGTCAAGAACACCAAACGGTGTCACTTTGACAGCCTATTTAAAAGCCTAATCTTTTTTTTTTTTACTTTTTATTTTTCTCTCTCGTCCCTTAGAGCTTCTCCCTCTAGAATATTCCCTCCCCTTACCAACCATCATGTAAACCTAGTTTTCGACTAGTTACTATTGTGTCCTCACAACGCTCAAAAAATTAAAAATAATTTAGATTTCAATGATCAAAAAATTCAATTGATTGTTGAAAAATTTAAAATTTTTTTAAAAAAATCTCAAAACACCCCTCTCAAATTCCTAAACACATTTTTTCAATTATTTTTCTTTTAAATCTCAAATGGCCTAGATCAAAATTTTTGTTTTTGGATTTTTTTTCTAATTTTTTTTTAAAAGTTTGTGATGGTTCCCCTCAAGGATATGGATGTTGGATTTCCTTCTCTTATGTACTAATAGGTCTCCAATAGATTTAGGTAGAATGGCAGGATAGCAAAATGGTAGTATGTTTCTGTCAATTGTCTCCTTTTTCCAATTTTTGGGAGCTGAATTCATAAGGTTGAATAGGAAATCAAATCTCAAAAAAATTGGGATTAAGGGGTTTTTTTTTTTTTTTCAAAGCCATCAAAATTTTGCTAGAAAATTTGACAAATTTTGTATTGAAATGTGATTGGAAATGAAAAATGGGGTGGCAGACGGATGAAACTTGAACTTTAGGTCCTTATTGATTTTGTCATTTCCATAGTACCTCTTTTTTTGACTTTTTTTTTTGTGATTAATTAATAAAATAATATATATAATTGAACCCAATACGCAATAAATATGATTAAAGTACCCTAGTGAATTTAAATTGGATATATTAAAATCACAAATGCAATTTGAGACCTATTTCGATTAATTCAAATAAAATTAAATATTTATAAAAGTTTCCATGTTTAGGTCAGATTAGGTCAGGTTTGGTTGCTATTTTCAAAGTCTTGCACAAAATTTGATTCATTCATTTGGGTCCATTACGTATATTGACTAGTTAAATAATATTAAATTATTAAAAATCAATTTAATATTACTTTTGAAATATATTAAATGTATTTTAAAATTAAATTTAAAAATAAAAATTCAAGGCATACTCGAATTAAAAAATTTTTATTTAAGACCCAACTTGATCGAATTTGGACAGACAACCCTATTAGGAGATAGATCTAGCTTGTTGTAGATCACTCCCATTATTTTTTTTTTCTTTTTTTGGTGGATTTGATTTTCATCACATTAATTACATGAGTGAAATTTACTCCAAAGGAAAATTTCAGTAGATACGAAAATAAATAAGGATAAGCTAATTGAATTTAGTTTGAATGGTTTAATTAAGAAAGAACTTAAATATAGAAATTTTAAATTAATTTGAGAATTATTAGTAAGTCACTTCCCTTTAATATGTTTTCTTATTTCATGAAGAAAATAATTTATTCTTTTTCCTAGAATTTATTAGACGAAATTGGGTAAAATGTTTTTCCATTCCTCCTTTGAGAAATTCAGTAATGTATTATAAGTATAAAAAAAATGGGCGAATTATTTTTCTTTATATTATTTAATTTATGAAGTAGTCTCTCTAGACGATTAAGCATTTTGCTATTAAACGGTCATTATTACGTCATATAAACGTAATCTTGTAAGTGGAATAGTATACCTTTCATTTTTTTTATGCTCAAAGCTGATGTTATGTCCTTTGACCTCATCACTTTTTTCACAAACCACACTTTCTCGTAACAAAAATGGAATTAGAAAGAATCAACAGTCATCGTGCAATGATTACACTATCTTTTTACTAATTTCCTTCCAATTCCTTAAGTTTGCGTGAATATTAAGAGTTGTTTAGTTATTCTAATTTTATATACTATTTTATCTCATTTTTCTAACTTTAATCTTGTCAAAAGATTCAGTATCATAAATGATAATTGTAAACATCTATTTTATTATTTTTCTTATTATTTTCTTTTCTAGTTTCATTTTTGTCAAATCTCTTGGTGCAT